TCCTCCTTAATTTTAATGGATTTTATAAACCTTAAAAATAATAATGAAATGATATGATAACTGGTATCATCGAGAATAACAATAATATATATAGATAAGATTTAAACGGTGTTAAAAAAGGAAAGAAAAAACTCAAAAAAAAAAATTCAGTCGGCCATAAAATGATAAAAAGTGTCAGTTGAAAATTTTATTGTATCAAGTCCTTATAATGCAGGCAGAAGGTGAAGTGGAATATGATTTTTGAACGAAGTTATCAACTAAAATTAAATATATCGTGTTATGTGAGAGCAGATTTTTTTTTACTGTAGGCACGCAAGTCATACAATGACAGGACAACCAAGATACAATCTTTTAAGACAGATGATTAAATCAAACATTTAGTAAAAAAAAATCTTGACAATAATAACTTAGGATACATTAATAATACAACTCTCAAATACTTTAGGATAGCTGTAAAATCAAACTTTAAAAAAGAATATTAAAAATAACAATTTTAGTCATGTTTATATAAATAACTTAAACAACTTATTTTTTTATTTACCGTTTCACACAAGCGAATCGTTGTTTTGAATGAGGACTTAAAACCCCCTAAAAATTGATCAAATGCAGCTTATAATGATTTAAGATATATTGAATTGCTTTTTGATGAATAAAATTTCTAAGAATTGTTTTGATATAAACATGTCTGCTTCATGGCAAAGTACCCAAAAAAATCAATTTCTTTTGAAAAAAAGTTAATTCATAAGTATTTTTTTTTCTAAAAGCTGAAACGCTTGTTAATGTTTTGAATGTAGCAAACAAAATCTGTCATTGTTTAGAGGATTTTCTTTTATGTAAAAGCATAACAAATACGTATCTTAAAACTGTATTTGAGGAAACATTCAATTTTTTTTAAATAACAAATTAAGAAATTTCAGATTATTTATATTTCTTTGTATATCTTTTTTTATCAGCTTGAAGAACCTTCTTTGTTAAGAATTTTTATAAGTAATTTTAGTTTATGTATCCTTCATTGGTTGATTCTCGCTGGAAAATAATGTGGAATCTTTGGAGTTTGTGGTGTCTAATATACGTTAATTAGCAGATATTTCTCTTTTACGAACTAATAACTTGAGATTTCACGGTCATATTTTCTTCTGCAGGTAAAAAAGCATACAGGAAATAACGTCTTGCGAAAATGCAAACTGAAACGTAAAGCAGTCATCCATTCAACAGGCTCGTCGTTGCTTAACTTGCCTGAAGTAGAGTGAGACTTCTTTTGATCTTTTATTAAATATAAAGAGACTCTTTCTTTTTTTGCAGTGATCAAATCCAATTAGAGTTTGTATATTATTTTCAATAATAAAGGTTTTTTTTTTCATTTACAGAGAAACCTTACAATAATCCTACAGAAACCAGACAGATCTTAATCAAAGAAAACTCGATTCGTGCATTTTTACTTAGTCCTATTTAATATCTACAATATTATGTTACATTTTGTGCAATTGCAATAAACGATTAACTGATACGGAATCTTTGGAATAAAAAATGGAACTTGAAACAAAGAAATGTTTACTGATTATATTTTTCGTGCACCAAACATCAATTTATGTTGATTGCAGGAGCACAGTTTTTAATTATAGCATAGCCCTACAGAGTAAAGAGTAATCTTTCTTAATGAATTTTAATAATTTAGTATATTTCATGATTGTTTTGTACTTCTTCATGTTAAACCATTTATTTAGAATGCTAACTAAATCATTATGTAATTTTCAACATATTCACGCTGATACTGAACGTCCCAGGGAAATAGGACATTTGTAAACAAGACGACTCACTGGTAAAAGCCTTCTTAGATTAATAGCAATATTCTAGACCAAGAAAGATTACTCTTTCATTGCTGCTCCCATTCTTCTCATTTATTTTATTTTGTGGAAAAAAGCTATATGTTAGAAAGAAAATCGTAGGAATCAAACTAACAAGTAAACATTTGACGGTGAAAATGGAAGAGGGTTTTATGGTCAATATAATCAGGACAATAGTTTGACTGCTTGATGTCGAGAGTATAGAAGATCTTTAAATAGATATTGCTATTTTATTTGTTTAGCCCAACACTTAGGTTTAAAGAGGACAAGGACAATAAAAATCACACGGTTTGTACTAATTCTCCAACTGATGCTATATATTTAAATTGACTACAATTAGTTATGGAGTTCAAGTACAAAAACTGAAAAAAAATTACATGCAACGGACGATGATAGACGAGAGCACAAAAAATAGGTTACGAGAAAGAATAGGTTAACTAAAAAAGAATTTATTAAGCCAAAGATATTTATCTTGGGGACAGCCTGAACGTTATAAAATTCTGGGCGGAAAGCTATACACATTTTACCTTTAGTTTAATCAATATTTTATCATGTAAGTAAGAGTATATAATTGGATTGGACATCAGACCTCACGCATTTTACCTTAAATCAGTATAAATTTCAATTTTAAATAAAAAGTCTTCTGAATTTTAGAAAACTTATGATAAGGTTTCCTAAAAAGAAGGTTGCAGATATAATCATGATAATCACAGTTTGCATAATCAATATTTTGTAAACATCTCGAAATTTTCGAAATTTGGTAAATATATACACTGTACATATGAAATAATTTTTGTTTCTGAAAATTTCAGACACAAGCTCGCATATCAAAAAGTTTATGTACAACAGACTTCTGTGATTAAAATAATTGTAGTATTTCTGAGGTTTTTTTATTGGCCTGGGTTTTTAGAAGAGTGCTCTTGAAAAAAATGTATGTTTTGATCTCGAATGTGTACCCAGATTTTATCTTGCTTGATGTATCATATTTCACCCAATGTAGGTTATGCCAAACACATTGATATTTGAAAGCACCATCATCCCATGCTCGAGTAAACAATTTTACTACGTTTTGTTTACAGTGCTTAAAATATTCCCCTTGCCCTTGAAGTTATTGAAACCGATATGAACGTGTTTAATACTTATAAAGAAAATATTTAAACATAATTCCTATTTGTTTCTTCAGTTTATTGAGAGTAAAATTTTCTTATTCTAATTTTTGGGGTTTGTTTTTATTTTCATATTTATTTTATTTTAAATAATTATATTTTTTGATCGATCTACCCTCGTAGTTTTTTAGCTTTAATCGTCCATGTTTACAAATGGTTAGAGTTTAGGAGTAAGGAGCTGATTCTTATGTTGCCAGATTGAGTAGTACCAAGGGATGCCGAGACCGGTTGTTCGGGAGAAACCTATAAACCGAGATTCCTTTTCGCAATAAATGCAGCAAAAAAAACCCCACTGATCAATGGCTATGTCTGCCGATAATATAGTGGATTTCTTTATATCAGGTAAAAACTGTGGATCACTAATATTTGAGAATCTTATCTTGGCAAACATTGGCTCTTAAAAGCAAATGATACAGATTAATTATTATTTTACCTTATTGGTGAGGGTAAAATTTATTTTCAGATTCAATTCAAATAAAAAGAAAAAAAAAACAATTTTGATAAACAGATTGGCAGGAAGAGGTATTGGGTTGAATTGGAATGTTTTCTTCTTATACAGTAAAATGCTGTAATGAAGTCGCTGGGACCTCTTATTTTGCGATTTTTTTATATACGTATAAAAGACACATATGGCAAATTCATCTGGATTCTTATTAGTTTCTTTCTAACCCAATTTTTGTTGCGAGCTTTCCTAATAACTGTGTTTTACTTTTTTTTTAATTTCTCAAAAATCTTTTACCTCGAAAAAAAAACATGATGACTATACAAGCTTTGAGGCACAAATGGATTTTCTCCATTTTTTTTTCGTTCTTCAGCTCAGTTTTCTTCATCCTTGATCAGGGCTTCCGTGATTGATCTGTACAAAGAAGTATATTCTTGTTTCAGTTCATACCACAAATTGACTTTTTTCATTGGGTTTATTTCTTGTCTGACCACAAAAGTCACAAAGATATTGCTGTTTCTTCTGCGGATTCTATATATCAATAAAAGAATGAGGAACCGGATTGTACATGTATAAAAAGAAGCAATTCTGACTGATATACTGAAAAGAAAAGGACCGCATCTTCAGTTGCTTACAGATAATAGGGGCGGTAGATTTCTGATAATTTAATTTTTAAAGATATGTCGAAATCTTCTAACATGTGTTTTTAGTTTGAAAAATGAATAATATAACAGGTTGTTAATGCTAAATATAATTTAATTATATAGACATTAAAATACAGTGATTAACAATTTAATTATATCTTTCGAGAGTAAGAAAAGAAGGTGGAGTGAACTGATATCACAAATAACATCTTCATCCTTATATATTTTAAAATTCAAACATTTTATTCTTAATTTACATAATAATACAATTTAATGATTTATATGTGACTTATATGCCGGATATATGTAGGGTCTACTGTTTTTTGGGAGAAAAAAACATTTTGTTTCTAATTTAACATTTTTTTTCTAACAAGTCACTGAATTAAAATACTTAAGTTGAGTTACATGCATGTCAGCACCAACATTCTTTAACTTGTTTTCATGCAAAGAAACTAAAATAGAAGTCGGGTCTAATTGAACATGATTTTTTGAATGACACGACACGTTTGACAAGGTGCTTTCAAAATATCTACAACTGTCACTTTAAGCACATGTAAGCATGAAACATAATATTTTAGTTCTTGAAGTAATACGACCCCTATATTGTATGCTAGCATTTACTCTTTTAGCCAATCAGTATATCTTTTTATATAATACAGTGTTTTTACTTATATAATAGCTTTAGCGTAAATATACCTCTAACAGCACATCAATTAGCCGAGAGAGATTACTCTTTAAAAAACTTAGTCAAGTTTATAAAACAAAAATCAGAGGAGGGATATAAATATCAAGATATAGATCCCCGGGTTCTACATTTGATTTAAATTTGTTTTTTCTATCTTCCTCTTTGTAATAAGACGCATAACAGGTTTGAAATGTTTATTGAACAATTAATATGACACAGTTAAAACAAAGTATAAATGAAACGCACTAAAATAAAATTACTAGCTGGTAAAATCCAAATAAAAAAATGTTATAATTATATATGCACTCCAAAGGAATAAGTCTAATGAGCATATGGCAAATTATGCTCAAAGGAAAAAAATAGAAGTTCAATACTTCTCCTGGGGACAAATCGTTCCTGGATGTAAAAAAAAAAAAACAAAACTTATGTTTTAAAATATTCGAGTATGACAAATGGCACAACAAGCCAACGCTTCTGTCAAAGCAATAATTATTCCACAAAATAAATGTTTATAATATGTACACATGATAGAAGAATTCACTTAACTCCATGTTATTCATCTTTGATTCTTTTTACATAGTTTTATAAAAAATCTCAAGTTAAGATATTTTGGCCATGATAAATGTCGCAAAAATTCGACCTTTCTGTCATAGTAATAAATATTCCACAGTTTCAAATCAAACCTAATTTTTTTTATGTAGAAATGATTATCAGTTCATTAACAATGCGCGCATAAATTTTGCACAGTCAGTATTGAAATATCATCCATCGTCAGGCAATGCTGACTGTTGCTGTGCTGCAGATGTTTAATCATCATTCTCCGCGAATGAATTTCAACTTATTGACAAGAAAATATAAAACGCAAAACAGAATAAAGTAGTCATATCAAAAGGTTCGAATCATTAAGCATCGCCTATGAACCGTAATCCACAAATTCTTATGGCAGAAATTAAATGAAAGCAAAGACTTCGAATCAATAATGGTGATGGTTATTTTGGTCAAGGGCTTCCGTTGATCACAGTTAAGCCATATAAAAAATTTGTCAATTTTTTTTTTACAATTGTTTAAATTTTGAGATGCGAAAATTTATAATTACATGGTAAGGAAACCATTGTTTCTAAAATAATGTGCAGATTTCATTACTCAATGAAATCTTCAAACACAAATGTCAAGAAAAAAATGAGCTAAATATGAAGTCGTGTCACTCACTTCCAAATGAACGATTTAATTCAAATGCCACCTATGATGTTGATTCTTGTAACTTTTGATAAAAATGACAAATTTTGAGCTTTAACAATTAAATTATTGAGATCTGATTAAGATTTCATGCAGGTCGCATGTTAGGCGCATGTTCATGAATTATTTTTTTTTTAAATTTATTTATGTAATTGCAAAAAACATACACCAAGCTCTCTCACTCTCATACCTGTTGGAGAAGATAAATACACACACATGATCAAACATATGATAAACATAGGATAAATACACGACATCAACATACATATAATATACATACATGTACATATAAACTGTGTTAATGTGCCCCCCTCCCCCGTCTTGATTTTATTAATTTAGAATCTACACTACCCCAGGATGCTTCCATCTAAGTTCTAAGTTTTACCTTTCCTGGCCCACGGGTTCTTGAGAAAAATATTTTCCTGTATATTTCTATATAAAAATCGGATTCCCTTTTGTGGCACCGCCCTACCCCGGGGGTAAGTATTTTGACAATTAAGATTCTACACTACCCGAAGATGCTTTCACATGAATTTCAGCTTTCTGGCCCAGTGGTGCTTGAGAAGAAGATTTTTAAAGATTTTACCTAAATCTTTCTATGCAAAAATTGGATTTCCTATTATGGCCCCGCCCTACCCCAGGGGGTCATGATTTTTACAATTCGGAATCTACATTATCCCAGGATGCTTTCACACAAGTTTCAGCTTTCCTGGCCCAGTGGTTTTTGAGATGATTTTTTAATGATCCCACCCTATTTTTGTCTTTTTGATTATCTCCCTTTGGAAGGAGACCTGGCCCTTTATTTTAATAATTTAAACTCCCGATCCCCTAGGATGCTTTTACCAAGTTTGGTTTAAATTGGCCCAGTGGTTCTTGAGAAGAAGTTGAAAATGTGAACAGTTTACAGACGGACGGACGGACAGACTACGGACAAAATGTGATCAGAAAAGCACACTTGAGCCTTCGGCTTAGGTGAGGAAAAAAGATATCTCAAACGTAACCGAAAAAACCTCCTTCTGTGACTATAATTCAAATCTAATAGCTGTTACGTTCTTTTAGGTCCTGTGCAACAACATTCAAAATTGTAATTCATTGTACTCAATACTTTAAAATAATTGATCTTATAACTGCTGACCATTGTTATTGATTTAGAATGATTTTTTTTTTTTGCTTTGACAAATCCAAAGTATTAATATTCCAAATACAGATAACATAAATGTCAAGATACGTTCTTAATAATGTTTATTAATATGTTATTGATTTTAAGAATTTTACGAGTAAGAGTCATGATTCGGAGCCTCTTTCCCTTCAGGCTTCAATATCATTTTAATGTCTTGCATATCCGATAAGAGGGAATGCAACATGTCTTTTTGTGATTTTTCTCGCTCACATTCTTCTTTCACTTTTTCAATAATAGCATCTTCATCTTCCTCTTTTAGGGTCAGCTTTTGAATGAAATAAATTTTATCCAAATACTTCTTCCCAAGAAAGGTTTCCAACCTTTGGCAAATATCTGATATCAACAACCAGGTGTTATCAAATTCCGTCTGCGATGTCGAAGCTGAGCATACATGTGCAGTCAAACTGTTACGGATTGACCTTATTCTCTCAATATCATCACCAACAGTTATGTCTCCTGTTTCAGGCTCCTCACCCCATTTTCCTTTTGATGGTTTAGGGATCTTTGAACAAACGTTTCTGATCAAAGTGTATGTTAATGAAATATCAAAATTCTGATATCCAGAATTTTTTGAATCAAGTAAAAGGTGTTCTTGCTCTGGGCGCATTCTTTTAAAAACAGGCGACGCTTTCACTTTGTTAAAAATATGAGAAGGGTGTATCTCTAGCTCTAGGATGTCTCTGCACGCTTGACTTAACACATCGTTTGTAGCCATTCCAAGTTTTGCAAATCTAGATCGGTCGCTAAGGTCTGCGACAGAAGCCATTGCAAAGCAAAAATCGCTCGTCCTCATCTGAAAAGAAGTTCCTTGTATTTGTAAACTTGAATAAGCCAGATTAAAAAAACAACATAGACTACGTAAAAAAAGGTAATTGGTATATTAAAACTTGACCTTTTACACAAGTTTCATTGTTGTCTTATGGTAATATATTTATTGTATTGTTGTGGAAAGGGTTTGATATCATCGCCCCTTTTACCAAACTACACTATTCATCTCCCAAGAAATAGGGTATTGAATAATTTACTTATTTTGTTTTTTAATTATTTTTTCAGGTACGTTTATTGATTAAAACATCTTTTTTTGAACAACTGATAGGGAATAAAAAATAATTACCTTTTCCCAGAATCTCCTTGTTTCGTATACGTCTACTGGATGTTTTCTCCCCAGAGGGCAACATGGACATTGGATGTCATTATTTAATCTACAAAGTTCTTCCTCTGGTATAAACGACATCTCTTGACATTTGTATCCCCTCTGGAAACCCCCATTTGTCTTTTCAGAGAATATTTTTGTGAGCTCGTTTAAGGCATTATGTATTAAGGAACCTATTTCACAGGAGACATCAGTATCTATCACCAAAGAGCTGGGTTCGACAATTACTTGCAACTGAATATCTTTATTGAATATACGGAGCATAACAGTGTGGTTTTTGTACTCAAACACCGCAGCTGTTTGAAAAAGACATTTGCCATCTTCATCTGATGCAACATTCCATTTAAGGGAACTCATGCAATAGGCTACGAGCCTATAAAACACAAACATTGCAAAGGAAATGAATCGAAAGCACAAAATTGATGAGCCTTCTGAATTCGGTTTGATAATGTTTTGATCAAATTCCTTTTTGTTCATGCAGGGTACATACCAAGACGTTGCATTATCAATATCACCAATAGTAACCAACATTCGGAGTCTCTCCATGTAAGCCATTAGCTCATTTTTGTATCTGATGAATGATACTGTGTTGTGTATGTCTGATTTTTCGTCTTTCCAAAGAGCATCAACTAGTGTGCTGTAAAGCTCTCCTGTCTGATTAAAATGCTCCCATTCTTCTAAATGTTGTCGCCGGCAGTCTTTATTAATGTGCTTCTTGTCCGCTATAAGCTTAGAAAATGCATTAGAGAACCATTGAATGCCAAGAATTACATGCGTTCGCGTAGCTTCTCCATGGAAATACAAAAACAATCCATGAGAATGGAAGAACGATAGAAAGTGTGGAACTTCTTTGTTGCTTTCTAGGCGATATTCCTCAGGGAGTTTTTTATTCAATTCTTGAATTTCATCAAATGAAATGATTGGTTTTCCAGTATCTTTTAGGAGGTGTTCCAGTAGGGCCCAAGACGAGGGAACTGGAATTTTTGTGTTCAGTTTATCCGATACAATGTCCACAATTGCGTTTTTCAACGACTGTAAATCCTGTAATTTTTCCTTTTCATTCATTTCTATAAGTCCGAATGCGAATTCGTCTTCCTCTTTGCTGGAAAACTCAGAGAGCCATAGCCTGTCCTCTCGTGGTAGTAATCTCCACAAACCCTCAAAAAATTTCTCTATGTCCTAAATTGAATGGTCATTTTTATCAAATTATTTTTATCATCGTGAAGTAATCAAAAATTCTTTTAAAAACTTGCATGCCTCCTAATATTACTACAGAAACTGAGATCCCTGCTGATAAGCTGATACACTCGCTACAGTTTTATTTTAATTATCTATTCAAATTTTGTAAATATGACATTGGACTTCCCAAAAATACTTTTGGTTGAAAACATTGATAATCAAAGATTACGAAGCTCACATTGACGAATATTATGCGTTAGTAAGACAAAGGACAAGATAGGGTAAGACCAGTATTTGGCCCCCGATTTGGGGTGTCCATCAGAATGATCCAACAGTTTATCCATAGAGACCTGTTGTCACGCCTGCCACAAAATAAGTATTTGTTTTAAGATTTGGAATATACAGGGGTAACAGTGAGGTCAGAATAAAGGTCAATTTTCGAAATTTCTCATTTTTATGCAAATTTTCATCAATTTTAATTTACAGCACATTTTCTTTCGGAAAACATAGAGCACACGCTTGCCTATCTACCAAATTTATATATTTTATACAATAATATCAGATGCAGTTTATGTGTGGAAATCTCAGATAGGCAAGCTTGTGTTCTATGTTACCAGAAGAGAAATGTATCAGAAATATGATGAAATTCCACCAGATTTGAGAAAAGTCTGGAAAATGCCCCATTTCTGACCCTCTAGTGGCTTCCATGTAAGCACTTAATCAAAGTTAGTGCTTGTTTTGAGGTAAGCATCATTTTAATTTCTTAACTACAAACTATCACAATTTTACCAGTGTTCTGATTTTTACAGCAAATAAGGGGCCAGATTCGGCTGTTACCCTATTTTGTCCTTTATTTTTCTAGTTAATGTCCAGTTTTACATCAATATCTACGCAAATACGGTTTAAAAAATACAAATGATTTTATAGAGTTTTCTAGGTAAACGATTGTACAAAGCCCGACAACAATACCTTAAATGGGGTATGTTAAATGGGGTTCTAGTAATAATTTTGTCTTTTTTAAGCGGTTTTGTGAAAATCCGCTAACAATTTAAAAGCAAAATTTGCATTCTTCTTCATCACTACTAAATACAAAGAAAATGAAATGACTCTGTTTAGTCTGTGTATTAACAATATAAATTGTGTATTATAAACTCATTTTATGATAATCGGTATTCAGAGGTATATTAAACGTACTCAACTTTATCTGAGAGACAAAAGTTCCTCTCTTTTGCAATGTGAAAAAAACCCTGTGTTCCCCGAAATGTTATGCTGACCTTATTGAAATACCTTTGGACAAACAAAACGCCCGCTCCAGAAACCAATTATACTATATTCTGTACTTTAAAAATACCATTAATATATTAAAAACACATAAGATAATATTTTCATGTCATTCTGAGGTAGAGGAAAACTTTTTAAAATACAAACAGTCCAAAAAATGAATAGAACACTTACATCTTCAGTTTTTCCTTCTGCATGTGTGATAACAATAAGTACTGGTGCTTCAGGACCGCTAAATAATTTGATGGAATCCAGCCAGAATTCTATATACCCTTTTAAGTAAATAACATTCATTAGTATTCATTATATACAAAGAGATAGCTTTCAATTTTTTTTTGTTGGGGGGGGGGGTGTTCAATATCTTTCTCGAAGTAGCAAATTTTCGCGAGTATATGCAACAATGTATTTTATCAAACTTTTCAATATTTCCTAGTATGGAATTTTTTTAAATGGGATAATTTGAAACATACGAATACCCGTACATACTTTTATAAGTCCAAGTAGAAAAAACGGATCTTGGTTGTTGTTCTTGGTTGCCGCTGACATCTTCAAAGTTCTTTGTCATGTCCAACACAAGGATATAGAAAGCATCAGATCTCATGTAAATCTGATGGCATGCATAGTAAGCAAACTGTCCAGCAAAATCGATCATACTGACACTTATCTCATTCTCCTGTGCGTCCAATATCTTTTCTATTACCTCCGGTGACAGTGTTCCAGCAACTAAAGCATTGCTTGAGACACTATTCGACCTATCTTCTGAGATATATGGAGGGTTAACGGGAGGTTTAACAGTACCCTCTTTCCCAACTCCTAATTCACCAGTCTCATTTTCTGTGTTGACTGCCATATCTTGAGGGGAATCTTCTATTAAATCATTTTTCACAGTAAGTGAAGATTTTGGTACTCTGATCAAGGGATTGCGAGAAAGATTTTCTGTAGCTAAAAGAAAACGGATTCGTATGATCAAGCTTTATTCATACAATTTTACCAAATTTCGGTCGTATTTTGTCCGATGTGTTTCATGCATTTTGTAAGGTCTTCGTTTTGTATACTAAATTTGACTACAAATATTCTTTCTGAATAAAACATGGGAGTCGCAGATGATATGAAAGGTCAACAGGGGATGCTTACCTCTCCTAGGGACCTGATCCCACATCTTTAATTCCACGATTTTAGGCCCCATTCAAAGAATGGCATTGTTAATAGATTTTTGATATCGATCGTTGTTCGATATCTACACCTTTATCCTTGACGAAAAGTCGTACAATTTGTTGGTATTGAATATTGAAAATTTTGGTGAGATTTCAAGATCCATCTCTGAGTTACAGATGCTCTACCTTAACCAAGTTATACGATAAACGTGACGACTTTAACTTTTCTATCGTCAACGTCCCTTACTTATGCAGCAATATACCTTCATCACCTGCATACGGAATGATATACATGTATCTCAGTTGATTCGATACGCAAGAGCATTCTCTACAATGTCTAAGAATTGGTAAATTTTTGACTGGCGGGTTAATGGGACAAAAATATTAGCAGTCTTATTTAAAGTCATCATTTCGTAAGCTCTATGGCGATACAATGACCTTGTCAGCAAATACAATTTATCATTGAGTCAAATGCTGACTAACGTTTCTATACTAATTGTCAGTCCATTACTTGTACACTGACGACGGATTTTTTCCGTTATTTCCTGATCATCACAACGAGCACACGGCGGGTGTGACCGGTCGGCAGGGGATGCTCACTCCTCCATGGCACCTGATCCCATCTCTAATGTATTTAAGGTCCCTGTTTGTTCTGCTCCTATATTGTATTGTTTTATTGGAAACATTAGGGAAAAGTATTCAAACATTTTTCATTATTCTAGACTTTGTGAAAAATCGATCGTTGCCAATATTTTGTCAATACTTAATTTAACATTTGAATGTTTTTTTTTCGTTTTTTTTTTTGTAACAATAGCAGTTCACTGTCACTTTATCAGAATCTGAGGGAAAAAAATCCTTCTTGAGGTGGCAATTTCTTATTTAATATGGTCATTACTCTAATGTTGATTAATTAATTGAGAAGTTTTTACAAAATTTAATATGTCTTACCTATTAAAGACTCATCTTTCACAGAAAATATATGTTCGTATACTTGTAGCCCTCTAGTTGATTTTATTTTTTTCATTTCTTCAAGACGTTTCCCCATAAGACTGTATAAAAGTGTTGTTTTGCCCGCATCAGCACATCCAACAACAATCCCCCTAGCATGACGTACTGTTGTCTTTTGAGTCCGCATGTGTCGCAAAAGATCATCAGCTGAGATTTCTGAATCAGATTTCAGAAATTAATTAAACATTTTAGAAGAATAGAGAATAGATTTCTCAACTTCATTCGATAATTTTTATTTTCATTGGCAACTAAGTATGCACATAGTCTTACAGAGTAATATTTGTATATCCTGTGGTATATCCCTGTATTACTTGTAACCTTTACTCAGTTATTAATGTCATGTTCTAAATTTTGTATTTACATCATCTCGTTATTTTCAATATAATTTTTATTAAATATTTAATGTTAAACATTATGGATATTAAACTATTTTATAAATAATGGTGATGTTATATGGGTCACTTTGGAGTAAGTTTGCCACAGAAACCAAGTTTATAAACTTGGCAACGAGGTGTTCCCGTGCTTTTAACCATCATCAATTTCTGTATAAGGTACATGTTTTTTAAATCAAGCTTTTCTCTTAAATATATACACATATATGTGCATGCATACATCATTTGTATTATTTTAATTTATCTTTTTTGGAGAATAAAAAATCTATGTACTGTATTTTTCCCAAAATATTAGTAACGAATTTTATTTGGCGTTACTTTGGTACATATGTAGTAACTAACTACTTGTATATATTTGTATGAAACTTTTCGATATCTGTACCTTTCTAATTCATTTTCAAAAATCCTATGATTTTCATCTTAAAATGTATTTGTTGATCAATTTTCAATTCTAAAATGCATAGAGGGAATTTTTTTTTTTTGCAGTTCCTGGAAATTTATTCGAGATTTACCAATTTCCCTATATAATATGATTAATTTTAAAAATGAAGTCTTAAGAATTACTGTTGGTAAATACACTGGACATTTTATTTGGAGAACTCATACACTTTTTTGAGCATTTTATATTATTCATGGCCTGATTTTCAGAACCTGAGGATCGGACTACCTTAATGTACGACTTACTCGACGAAATAATATCCTTCATTATCACCAGCAAGTTTGATAGTTATTAAAATGTTTGTTTCCAAGCAACATGTCCACTATAACAAATACGCATTTTTACGAAGGTATGACATGCACGTAGTAACTGTGTTACGCAATGATACCAGCACACGGATCAGAATTCAGCTTATTAACATTTTTCATAATATGTGATACTAATAAATCGGGAAAGACATGGATAAAACTTTTGCTATCATTATGCATTCTTTAGACTTCAATGTGACTTATACTACAGGAAGGAATACACCACTGCGTCACCATGTAACGTCTATAATTAGAAAATATGCCTCAATGAAAAAGTGAAAAGTTCAACACTACCCAATCACAGAATTAATTATTTAAGGTAGGATTCTTCTCGGGTTTCTGACTAGATGAAACATTAAAAGTATATTTGCTTATATGTCTCATATATTGAGGTGTAAGGAATTTAAAAGACCATATTTTTCTTTCCTCATCACAATTGTACAACTTTAAATAGAAATGGTAACTATCAGAGACTATATTTTTGGCGGAATGGTGTCGTATGAAAATGTCTTCTTTTTTGGAACAATGAATAAAGTTATAATTTTAACACAATCGAAGACTTGGAGAAATTTTCAATTAGTAAATAAGTTAGATTAATAATGAGGGACTAACCTTTCAAAACATGTCAAATAAATATGATTTTTCAAACAAACGAGAAATTAATTAGCTTTTAAACGCTTCCTACCAAAGTACAAATTTGAGCCAAAAATCCATAAAAAATATTTTTACTCTTTAAATAAACGACCAAAACTTTTTGTTTTTGTATCATTTTGTACATTTATAAGACTACCTTATTACACGTGAAAATAAGAAAAAGTTAAATATAGGAAGCGTATGAAAATGACTAATATATCCTTAAAAATAAGAAAAAAACAGAGAAAGATATGCCTATATCCAGTTAAGTTAAATTATTAATGTAAAGAACGAGGACGCTTTTGATTGGCATTCAGCAGGAATCTGGGCGTAATTGGAAAGTGAAAATTTGATCGACATGTCACACGAAATTTTATATTTTTTTTATTTACCGGGTTTCTGTGCAGCAGGAAAGGAAAATATTTTCCCAAAATTGAGCTTTGATTTAATAAAAAGTAACTTGAAAATTGGCCAGATAAAACATTTGGTACAAAATGGTACACTTTTAAACACCTTTTTCTAAATCTTTGGGTCTTCTCTCCATGATTTTCAAACGTTATTTGTGTGTATTTTGATTCAAAGAAACGAATACACATTATTAAAAAAAGGAGAGAAGACCCAGAGACCATAAAAAATGTACTTTTTCCCAAAAAATCCAAATGTGTGAATGTGGTGCTTCTTTGTCCTTTTTAAATCACCAGTATGTGTGTAGCGGTTATAGCTCAGTAAGTAGGGCTACCTGTTTAGTGCGCTCGATGCGAAAAGATTTTGGTTCGAGCCTGGCGTGGGGCTTTAATTTTTTTTTCATGCAAACAACCATTTATTTTGTCAGTTTCATTTTATGTCCTGATGTATTAAAATTTTGAATTAGATTAATTTTGGTTCAGTTTGGTTCTCGAGCGAAATCAATTCCAATCTTCTTTTCTATAATGTACATGTACACGTAGATTTTTGCATCTATGCAATGTATGCATTAAATATTTTACGTGTTTATTTTTTGTTAAACATTACTATGTTACAGTACCCGTAACGATGTTACAATATCACATGGTCTTTCAAACTAAATGAAAAAAAACCTATGGACGTGTTTGTAAAATTTAACCAGCCATGTTCAGCCAAACAAACCATGCATGGACATTTAAACCATAAATGTTTCGTACAAATGATTCCTGCAGATCACACGCCAAATGCGCCCATCTTCTTTGGTAATATCATGCTATAGACTTGATATAGTCACATGTTTTCATGCAAAAATAACAATCATTAAACTTTTGAAACAGAAGTAGGTATCACATAATTGGCAACAGTTATTTTTTTTATTCTTAATATCAAGGAAAAGGATAATGACCTTGACCTGACCTTGCCTCTAAAACCGGTATAAAACGGTCACATTTAATTTCACTGATACTATCACCTACTGATATTGTCTTCTTGGTTCTGATAGTCATGCCTCCAGTTGTTTTTGCGGACAAACAGACAAACAGACAGACGGACAGACAGATATATACCCTCGAAAAATCGTTTACTGGGGCATTAAATATGTACAGTTTTAATGTTAAATTGTCTTTTGCGATAAATACGCAATATATAGTTTTATTTAAGAATTCATGTGCGCATTATTGTGAATGTTGCAGCTAGAAACAAGGACTTTATTTTTATTCTACTATCAGCTTTAAAATACGACTGATCGTTTTTCTATAAAGAAACAAATTACGTCACCTTGTTGCGATTAAGCTATTCCATTTATCACCAACTGAGTGTAAATTTGTTTGTTTACCTGTGCCGGTAATGCAAACGATTTGAGCTCTCATCGCATAAAAACTAGTCACTTATCTATAATTGGTCTGTTTTTGGTACATATTTTGATCATTTTTTATTAATGAACGATGGCAAAATATCGATTTATTAACAAAGTCACCAAATTTCTATATGACGTATGGAGGTTCATGAAACAGCTCAGCTTCGCTATAAAAACCGACATTCAACAGCTACTTGATGTAATTTACAATATTTTGACTGCAAAAAAGGACAAATCAATGTGGTCTAATAAGTACTTCAATCTTAAATCGAATATCTGTTTCAAATGTATAGGTTTAAAACGTGTTTCTGATTTGATAATTTTTTTGATGTTATTCGTGATTATTGTAGATAAATGTCCACGTTTTTTCTTTGACCTCCAACATAATATTAGTAGAATTAATCTTAATGTTATGCAAACGTAGCTTTTTTTTCTTTTTTATTGAGTAAACATGATGTGTTTGTGAAAAACTAAGCGCCAGGCGGCAAAAAAAAAAAAAAAAATCGAAAAACCAATTTTAAGCATGAAGGTATTAATAAAGGCGATAAGGTCATTGACCTTGTTGTAATTTGAAAGAACTTCATCAGTAGATATATCTTCGTTGGTTCAAACGATATGGCAAAAAGTCGAAAATAAACTTTTTAGCTAATAGATCTCAGTCAAGGGCACAAGGAAATTGACCTTGGTGTCACTTGAAGACTACATAAGTAGTGTATGCACACCAAATAAGACGTCTCTATCAGGCACAGTTCAAAAGTTATGGCGAAGGTTAAATTTAACAACATACACACAAATAAAAAGACAAGCAGACAGAACAAAAACATTATATGCTACGGATCTGTCGATCACTTTCAATAATTTACTATAAAATGAAATTTGCGTCATTTATAAAATATCTGCTTCGTTAACTTCAGACAACATATTTTATTTTTAATTTTATAAATGTAAATATTGCATTTGAATTAAAGATATATTTGCCGTATTAGTGTTTTATTTTTAAAGAAATAAATATATATAGTGTCTCATCAAGCTATATCTGTTATATACTTTCTGCAAATAAGACAATTCCACTCTATCACTTTTAAAAGTTATGAAATATTATTTGGTAAAAATTATTTTGCTCTCCGAGTCGGATATTAAACCGCCTCTGATTGAAATATTCATGCATGATCACGTGGTCTCTCTGCTCACAGTAAACCATGGTCCAATCTCGTGAATGAGCCGAAAAACATGATGGTCTACTTCGCTTTTACTACAACACGTGGGTTAGGGAAATTTAGGATCGTATTTCAAATGACGGCTGGAAAGCCAATTTACAATTTCTTGAAACCTGTTTGAGAAAATTAGGATTGATTGTTTGATTGTATGTTGTTTAATGTCCCTTTCGAAAACTTTTCACTCCTATGGAGACGCCACCACTTGCCAGTGGAGGGCTACAAATTTTGTCCTATGCTCGGCACTCAGGGTCTTTGAGCAGTGAGGGATCTTTTTCGTGCCAGCACCTACTGCGACACGGGGCCTCGGTTTATACGGTCTCATCCGAAGGACCGGTCTCCACGTCCCGCAGTGGGATTC